AGGGAGCCCAATGTGGGACTCAATCCCGGGACTCCAGGATCATGACCTGAGCTGAAGGCAGTCACTTAACCAACTGAGCCACCCAGGCGCCCTCTTTTCTCATTTCTTAAGGTGGAAGTTTAGGCGATTGAGTTTAAATCTCTTTTTTTCTAATATATGTATTCAGTGCTGAAAATTTCCTTCTAAGCACTGTTTTTTGCTTTCTTTTGGTGTTCTGAGAGCAATTTCCATTGTGTGGGGAGAGTTGGGGAGTGTTTCCTACACCAACAAACAATTCTTATACACCAGTATGGTATTTGAGCGGTCACCTCAGTTCATCTCAATTCTGACCCTATGTACCCAGAGATAGCACCAGATTGCACGGGTTGAGGGCTGCATCCCACAAGACCACCCCCGTTCCCTACCCACACACACTTCAGACACCAGTTGCAAGCCGAGGTTATCACCTGTGCCTCTGACTGAACAACCATAGATTGGAGGTTCTAATGACCCCCTCCTTGGGTTTCAGACATCAGTCACAGGTCCAGGTTACCTGTATTTTTACCGACTGGCTGTAAATCAGAGGTTCTCATGACCTTTTCCTCATTTCAATTAGTTTTCTAGAGTGGCTCACAGAACTCAGAGAAACATTTTACCACTAGATCCCTGGTTTATTATAAAAGGATATAACTCAGGAACAGCCAGATGGAAGAGATTTATAGGGCAGAGAATGGGGAAAGACATGGAGCTTCCATGCCCTCTCTAGGTGCACCACTCTCCCCAAACTGCACTTGTTCATTAACCTGGAAGTTCTCCAAACGTCATCCTTTTGGGTTTTTATGGAGGCTTCATTACATAGGCATGATTGATTAAATCATTGCTTCCTGGTAGTTGATTCATCCTCCAGCCCCTCTCCCCTCCCTGGAGTCCAGGAGGTTGGGACTGAAAGTTCCAAGGCTCTAATCACATGGTTGTCTCCCCCTGGTAACCAGCCCCCATCCTTAGGTGCTTTCCAAAAGTCACCTTATGAATATGAGAGATACCTTTAAGCTCTAATTAAGAAATTCCAAAGGTTTTGGGATCTGTGAGCCAGGAACTGTGAATGATGTTCTTTTCTTTTTGTAGAGTAAAGTTTCTGACCTTTATCATTTTCCTTTTGTCTAAAGAAATTCTTTTATCCTTTCTTGCAAGGCCCATGTGCTGGCAGCAAACAGCTTCAATATTTGCTTGTCTGAGAAAGTCTTTATTTTTCTTCACTTTTGAAGGATAATTTCTCAGGGTACAGAGTTTTTTTTTCTTCTCTCAACCTTTTTTTAATTTAATTTTTTAGCTTTACTAAGATTAATTGACAACATTGTAAAGTATACAATGTGCTGATTTAATATAGGTACACATAATGAAAAGATTCCCCCATGGAGTTAATTGACACATCCATCACCTCACATATTTGCCTTTTTTGTGTGTGAGAATATTTAAGTTCTGTTTTCTTAGCAAATTTAGATTATATAATACAGTGTTATCAATTCTAAGTCATATTATTAATTAGGTCCTCAGACTTTATTCATCTTACAACTGAAAGTATGTACCCTTTCACCACCTCTCCCTATTTCCCCCAGCCAGGCCCTGGTGATCACTTTTCCATTCTCTATTTCTGAGTCCAACTTTTTATTTTTTTTAAGATTCTACATATAAGCAATACCATCAGTATTTGTCTTTGGCTTAATTCACTTAGCCTAATGCCCTCCAGGTTCATCTGTGTTGTTGCAAATGATAGGATTTCCTTCTTTTTAAAAGCCGAATATTACTCCATTTAGTGTGTATATATTATGTGTATGTGTATATATGTGTATATATGTTTCTTTGGTTTGTGTGTCTGTATTTATGCCAGTACAGTACTGTTTTGATTACTGTCATTTTGTAATGTAGTTTGAAATCAGGACATGTGATGCCTCTTGCTTTTTTTTTTTCTCAAGATTGCTTTGGCTCTTTGAGGTCTTTTGTGGTTTGATATACATTTTAGGATTCCTTTTTTTTATTTCTATGAAAAAGTCATTGGAATTTTGATAGAGATTGAATTGAATCTGTATATAGCTTTGGGTAGAATGGGCATTTTAACAATATTCTTCTAATCTATGAACATAGGATATTTCTTCATTTATTTGTGCCTTCAATTTCTTTCATCATTGTCTCAGAGTTTTGAGTATACAGATTTTTCACCTCCTTGGTTAAGCTTGTTGCTGAATATTTTATTCTTTTTGATGCTATTGTAAATGGGAACGGTTTCTTAATTTCTCTGATAGTTTAACTTATAGAAACACAACTGACTTTGGTATGTTGATTTTCTATTCCACAACCTTACTGAAATTGTTTATTTGTTGTAACAGTTTTTTTTGGTGGAATCTAGGTTTATTTGAGATCTTTTTTTCTTGATGTAGTTATTAATTGCCATAAACTTCCCTCTTGAATTATTTTTGCTACATCCCATAAGTTTTGGGTGTTATGTTTCCATTTTTATTTGTCTTGGGTTTTTTTTTTTTTTTTTTTTTTCCTCTTTTGATTTATCCTTTGACCCATTCCTTTGTCAGGAGCATGTTTTTTAATCTCCACGTATTTGTGAGTTTTTAGTTTTGTTCTTGTAATTTCTAGTTTCTTACCATTGTTGGAAAAGATGTTTGATAGGATTTTAATCTTCTTAAATGAGATTGAATTCTGATATGTTTTGAATGGAGAGACAAAGGAGTTCCTGTTGGATTGCATTTGGAGTAGGGGGGAAAAAGGGTATAATTGAGTTTTAACTCCCATGTTTTTTGGTCCAACCATCCAGAAAGTTGAAGTTTCTGTTTACCTGAAAGGAAAGAATGCAGTCGTTCAAGTTTGTAGATTAAATTCAAGATGCCTTATTAAACATAGAAAAAATGGTATGAATATGCAGTTGTATGTAGGAGTCTAGACTGTAGAGTAGAAAATTGAGCTGGAAGTATAAATTTGGGGGTTTACCATCATATGGGTAGAATGTAAAGTTATGAGAGTTGTAGATCACTCAGTGTATAGAGGGGAGATTTAAGGGCTGAATACTGGGCAACTTTCATGTGTAGAGACGGATAAGATGAGGAGGAAAGGACAAAGATTAAGAAGGAGCAGACAGTGAAATAAATGAACCAAGAGAGAGTGGTGTCCTAGAACCCAAGTAAAGAAAATGTGAGGTTCCTTGGTATAATAGAATTAGTATGAATTTGGGAGCCTGCTCGGCCTGATTTAACTACTTAAACAGCTGTAAGTTTCTTGATATCTCAGAGCCGTAAACAGGGGTAATGCATACACAGGTAAAACATCTAGCCTATCATCTTTTGCTTAGTAAATAATTCATAATTTGTCAGAAACACATTACTCAAATCCATGAAGTTACATTTGTGGTTAACAGTATCTAAGAAAGGAATACATAGAATATTCTGACGGGCCTAATACATGAGGTTTTTCTAATACATAAAATTGATACCTGTATATTGCATATGAAAGCCATGTGGGACTGAGAGCCAAAACTGAGTTATCATTGTATTAAATAGACAAAGTAATCTGGGTGGAGAAGGAAAGTACTATGAGGTAATCTCTGTAGGACTTATTTCACTGTCCTATATAGTTCACTAATTGCTACCTAAGGACTTTTAAAGAAAAATTGTGGCAACGTAGTTTTTGTTTTACATTTTTTACCCCCTGTAGCTAAAAATGCACTAAGTTGTATCAGTTTTTGTATTTATAGAGGAAGAAATTGTGAGGAATTACTATGGGTACTTAGTTGAGACTTCCACATGAAAATATTTTTAATTTGTGATTATTTTCTCTATTGAAGGTATAGCAAATGAATCTAAAAAATTATACGGAGCACAGTTCCACCCTGAAGTTGGCCTTACAGAAAATGGGAAAGTAATCCTGAAGAATTTCCTCTACGATATAGCTGGGTGCACTGGGACCTTCACTGTGCAAAACAGAGAACTTGAGTGCATTCGAGAGATCAAAGAAAGAGTAGGCACATCAAAAGTTTTGGTAAGGAATTTACATTTGAAAGTCTACAAATTTATGTCAATAATGCTAGAACTCAGAGCTGGCTTCAGCACCATAGCCCTTAAATGTTGACTGGGTGATAGGATGTTTTGTGAGTTGCACTGTTTCAGAGTGCTTTTCCAATTACCATATCTACTTTTGATAAAATCAGTGTTTTTAAAGGTAATGATTTAAGCTATAGTTTCTATTTTTTTGTTGTTTATTGTACTCAACTTGATTTTTAATTTCACCTCGTAGGTTTTACTCAGCGGTGGAGTAGACTCAACAGTTTGTACAGCTTTGCTGAATCGTGCTTTGAACCAAGATCAAGTCATTGCTGTACACATTGATAATGGCTTTATGAGAAAACGAGAAAGCCAGTCTGTAGAAGAAGCCCTCAAAAAGCTTGGAATTCAGGTCAAAGGTATTGATGAGCCCCCAGAAAAGTCTGTATGTGAGGACTTATTTAACAAATCAGATCTAGCATTATGGTTTGAGTGAGCTCATTGTCTTAACCAAGTACAGGTTTCTAGAGGTGCCTGGGTTCCCTAGTCAGTTGAGTGTCTGACTCTTGATTTTGGCTCAGGTCATGATCTCAAGGCTGTGGGAATGAGCCCTGCCTCCTGTTCCGTACTCAGTGGGGAGCCTACTTGAGATTCTCTCCCTTTCTGTCCCCATCCCCCCGACCCCACCCCCTGCTCTTGTGTGCTCACACAGGCACCCACACTCTCTCAAATCTTAAAAAAAAAAACAAAAAACAAGTACAGGTTTCCCAATAAACTTATAATTATGTTTTTTACTTTTACATTATAATTATCTGGTTCAAGAGGGGTCCCAGGATAAATTTTAAAACTGAAATCAATAGAAATTCTAAAAAATCAAATCAATAAAAAAAATCAATAAAATTCCATCTGTCATTCTGTTCTCTTCTACTTGTTCACTCTTTTTGAGTTATCTTTTCCCATCCATAATATTTTTTATGTGTGAGAATTTCCAAGTCTTCCTACAACAAATATGGATGTACAGATTATTTTACAAACTGAAATGCTTATACAGAGAAGTGCAGAATCCATAGTCACTTTTTTTTTTCTAGTTTAATGAGAAATAATTGACATACATCACTGTATAAGTTTAAGGCTACAGCATGATGATTAGATTTTGCATATATTTTGAAAGGATTATCACAATAGTCTCAGCTAACATCAGTCTTCTCATATGGGAACAATAAAAAGGAAAAATATTTTTCTTTTTATGATGTGAACTCCTAGGATTCACTCTTAACTTTTCTATGTATCAGCCAGCAGTATTAGCTGTAATTGTTATGTTGTATAGTATACCCTGAGTACTTATTTATATTGTAACTGGAAGTTTGTACCTTTTATCCATCTTCTTCCAATTCCCCTTCTCCTCACCCTCCACCTCTGATAAGAAGTCTGATCTCTTTTTCTATGAGTTTGATTTTTTAGATTCTACATATAAGTGAGATCATACAGTATTTGTCTTTCTCTGTCTGACTTATTTCACTTGACATAATGCCTTTAAGGTCCATGCATGTTGTCACAAATGGTAGGTTTCCTTATTTTTTATGGATGAATAATTTTCCATTGTGTGTGTGTGTGTGTGTGTGTGTACTGCATCTTTATTCATACATTGTGTGTGTGTACTGCATCTTTATTCATACATTGTGTGTGTGTACTGCATCTTTATTCATACATTGTGTGTGTGTGTACTGCATCTTTATTCATACATTGTGTGTGTGTGTGTGTACTGCATCTTTATTCATACATTGTGTGTGTGTGTGTTTGTGTGTGTACTGCATCGTTACTCATACATTGATGGACACTTAGGTTGTTTCCATACTTCAGCTATTGCAAATAATGCTACTATGAATATGGGAGTGCAGATATCTTTTGTGTGTTTTCATTTCCTTTGGGTATCTCTCTAGAAGTGGAATTGCTGGATCACATGGTAGTTTTATTTTTAATTTTTTGAGGATCCTCCAAAAACTTGTTTTTTTTAAAGATTTTATTTATTTTAGAGAGAGTGAGTGTGAGCGGGGCCGGGGGACAGAGGGAGAGAGAATCTCAAGCAAACTCCATGCTGAGCATGGAGGCCAGTGTGGAACTCTTATCTCACCACACTGAGATCATGACCTGAGCAGAAATCAAGTTGGACGCTTAACTGACTGAGCCCCTCAAAACTCTTCTATAGTGGGTGTACCAATTTACAATCCTACCAACATTGCACATGGATTCCCTTTTCTCCACATCCTCGCCAGCATTTATTATCTCTTGTCTTTGGTGATGGCCATTCTAACAGGTATGAGGTGATATCTCACTGTGGTTTTAATTTGCATTTCCCTAGTAAGTAGTGATATTGAGCATCTTTCTATGTACCTGTTGGCCTTTTGTATATCTTCTTTGGAGAAATGTCTCTTCAGGTCCTCTGTCCATTTTTTGATTGCGTTATTTGTGTTTTTGCTGTTGAGTTGTAGAAGTTCTTTATATATTTTGAGTATTAATCTCTTATCAAATATGTCCTTTGCAATATCTTCTCCCATTCAGTCGGTTGCCTTTTCATTTTGTTGATGGGTTCCTTTGTTGTGCAAAAGCTTTTTATTTTGATGTAGTCCCAATAGTTTATTTTTGCTTTCCTTTCCCTTGTCTGAGGAGACATATCTAGTAAAATGTTGCTAAGGGGAGGAAACTAACAAAAGCAGGATTTGTGGGGAGGCTCAAGATTTGGAAACATTGGCTTCCCTGTGGGGTATGGTTCTCTGGGAGAGCCTAAAACAGTTTGGTTGAAAATCTGAGAAGGAGATTCTTTTCCTTAACACAGGAATAAATTGCTGCTATCCCTCCCTATGGGAAGACTGTAGATTTATTCTCTAGAGAGGCTACAGAAAAGAAACTTTGGACTTGGGCATATCAATACCAGGCATAGTTGAGGGTAGAAATAAGATTCTACGTTAGAAACAGTAGGGTTAAGCAAAAATCTGTATACTGAATGGTGACCCTCTCCCTGCCTTCTGGTATTTCGTTATCAGAATGCTGATAGGCAGGAGATTGGAGGTGTCTTTTCTGGGGTAATTGACCAGTTTAAGAGAAAGAGCTACAAATTCACTGGTGTCCCCCAGTGAAATAGCCAGCTGTATTTCAGTGAGGTTCACCAGTTGTTCAGCCTTACCACCAAATAGAGATCTTAGTAAGTTTTTAAGTACCTTGCTCTTGAAAAATAAAAGGATAGCCAGTGATTGCTAAATGTATGCTGATAAACATCAGTTTTTCAAGAGATTGTTTAATTCGGTGTGCGGTTCGGACGACTTTGATCCCTGTATATGAACCCCTACTTTTAGCTCCCCTGGGGCTATGCTTCTTCCTTTGGCTTTTGCTTGTTGTTCTGGTGGGGCACTGAATACAGGAAAGCAATCAGCATAATGTATGATATTATGGCCTTAGATTACTAAATGCCACAGGATTCTCAAAAAAAACCAAAATTTAGTAAGTTCCTGTGTCTGGACTCTATTAATCGTGGTTTATTGGTAGTTCTATAATATGTAGCCGAGGTAAGGGTGATCAGAAGATTGATCTAGGTTTTCTTTCTGTAGTTTGACCCATTATTTATGTTTTTTAAAATCTTCTATTAGTTTTAAAATGTGCTTCTCTTCTCTTCCTCAGTGATAAATGCCGCTCATTCTTTCTACAACGGAACAACAACTCTACCAATATCAGATGAAGATAGAACTCCACGAAAAAGAATTAGCAAAACATTAAATATGACAACAAGTCCTGAAGAGAAAAGAAAAATTATTGGGGATACTTTTGTTAAGGTACCTTTTTAATATCCACAATGTGTACTATTTTTGATGTGAATTTTAGTATTTGTTTTTCCTCGTCCTTATATGAAATAATCAAATTTGCTGACTAATTTTGATTTTTTTTTTTATTAAGAATTTTAGTGTATGTAACTTATTATACTGACTGGTTTTTAAAAAACACATATACTTATGTTGCCAGGCTTTTATTTATTTTAAGAATAGGTGTTTCAGTTGATATTAGACTTTTTAGTTCTTTGAGTATTTCAGTGGCTAGTTTTCAGGCTCTTGAATGTTTGCCTATCTTTATGAATCTTTCTAAAGCATATGTTCTTAAAAGAGTTTTCTTTGGGAGTTGGTGTGGATTTTATCTCTTGGTCAGTATTGCAAAAGGATTCTGAGAAATCTTGTCGAAAGTATAAATAAAAAAGACTTTGCTATCTTTTTTTTAAAGATTCATCTCTTTAAAAGGCTGTTTTACTCCTCTTGGTTATAGATTGCCAATGAAGTAATTGGAGAAATGAACCTGAAACCAGAGGAGGTTTTCCTTGCCCAAGGTACTTTACGGCCTGATTTAATTGAAAGTGCATCCCTTGTTGCAAGTGGCAAAGCTGAACTCATCAAAACCCATCACAATGACACAGAGCTTATCAGAAAGTTGAGAGAAGAGGTAAAAGCTTATGAGAACTTTGCCATAAAGCCTTTCTCCCTCCCCCTCTCCCTGAACCATTTTTAATGGATAGTTCAGTAATGTTAAGTATATTTGCATTGTTGTGACACAGATCTCCATAACTTACTCATCTTGAAAAGCTGGAACTTTATATCCCTTGAACAACAGCTACTCTCTTCTCCTTCTCCCCAACCCCTGGTAACCACCATTCTACTTTCTGTCTCCATGAATTTGACTACTTTGGATACCCTATAAAAGTGAAATCATTTGTCTTTTTGTGACTGGCTTATTTCATTTAGCATAAGTCCTCAAGTTTCATCCATGTTGTAACATGTGACAGGATTTCCTTCCTTCTTAAGGTTAAATAATAATTTATGTATATACACATTTTGTTTATCCATTTATCTGTTAATGGACATTTGGGTTGCTTCTACTTTTTGGCTGTTGTGAATTGTGCTGCTATGAACATGAGTTGGCAGATATCTCTTGGAGACTCTGCTTTCAGGTTTTTTTTTGTTGTTGTTATATACAAGAAGCAGTATTGCTGGATCATATGGTAGTTTTTGTTTGTTTTGTTTTTGTAAGATTTTAAGTAATCTCTACACTCAGCATGGAGCTTGAATTTAAAACTCCAGGATTAAGAGTTGTATGCTCTACTGACTGAGTTAGCCAGGCACCCATGGTAGTTCTATTTTTAATTTTTAGAAGGGACTTCTTAATGTTTACAAAGCAGTTATATCATATTATAATCCACCAACAATATTCCACACCTTGCCAATAATTGTTATTTTCTCTCTCTCTCTCTCTTTTTTTTGTAATTCACATTCATTAAGATGGCTACCATCTGTCTTTATTTTAGGCATCTTAGTGCATGTGAAGTGGTATCTCATTGTGCTTTTGATTTGCATTTCCTTAATAAAACTAATGATGTTGAGCATCTTTTCATGTGCTTATTGGCCATTTGTATATCTTCTTAGAAATATCTATTCAGATATTTTGCACATTTTTAATTGGTTTATCTTTTTATTACTGAATTGTAAGTGTTCTTTATACACTCTGTAGGTCCTTTATCAAATAGGAGTAGGTTGTTTTTTCATTTCATGGTATCATTTGGAAAACTTTAATTTTGAAACACTAGTATGATGTTTTCTAATTGCCTTGTATTCTAAAGAGAACTAGATCAGAGATGGTGGGTAGGACTGCTCTGATTTATTTATATTTGAAAGGTTTATGTTTAAAATGTGTTTCAAAGAGAAGTACGAAGATCAGTAAAATATTCATCTAATTCCTTATGAACACATGGGAGAAAATACTTCAAGATACGAAATTTTAAAAAATGTCTTTCACCTTAGATTAAAAAATCAACAGGAAAGGCCAATAATATGTTATTCTTTATTTTCCATGTCATTTTCATTACTAATATGTATTAATTGGCTTTTTCCCTCTGTAGGGAAAAGTAATAGAACCTCTGAAAGATTTTCATAAGGATGAAGTAAGAATTTTAGGCAGAGAACTTGGACTTCCAGAAGAGTTAGTTTCCAGGCATCCATTTCCAGGTAAAAAAAAAAAAAAAAAGAATTGTTTGATTTGTCATTAGACTTTCATGTTGAAGAAAAATCAATTCAGACAATTTTGAAATAACTTTTTATCTTGGAATATGTAACTTTAGAGAAAGGAAAGTGTGGGTAGGGAACAAAATTCTTCTTAATATCTATTGTATATACTTCATTTTCTTACATAATTATTTTCCATTGTATTTATATTTAAATATTCACCCCAGTGAGTCTGGCCTATAATGTTGCCATCAGATGAGAAAAACGAGGTATAGAGATATTTTAATAACATTGCCACACAATTCTTTTTTTTTTTTTTTAAGATTTTATTTATTTATTTTAGAGCAAGCGTGAATGCCAGCAGGGGGAAGGGCAGAGGGATAGGGAGAGAGAATCTTAAGCAGGCTCCACACCCAGTGCAGAGCCCAACATGGGGCTTGATCTGACAACCCTGAGATCATGACCTGAGCTGAAATCGAGTCAGATGCTTAAACTGAGCCACCCAGGTAACCCACATTGCCATACAAGTCTTAGTGTTAGAGCTGCAATTTATATGTTCTTTCTACTATACCATGATGCCTTCCATGGAAGACAAGGTTAAAACGTGGTTCTCTGCAATCCTAATCCTATGGTTGACTACTTATCTGAATGAATTACTTCTTTGCATAGGGCTGTATGTAACGAATTCATGAACAAATAAAAAAATACTCAGTTTAAATAGTCATTTGCTGCTGTCATATAGAAAAATAACTAACTGAAGGTGGTATTTATTTAAAGTTAGGACTGAGAGTCTTAAACTGTTCTTGTTAGAAGTTCTTGAGCTTGGGTAAGTCTTGTACCTCAGTTTCTGGTTCTTTATAGTAGTCATTAGGTGATGAGTCGAGAGAATGGTCTAAGTATAGTAAAAGTTAACAATTCTTAAGTACTAGTATGTGCTAGGCATTCTGCTAAATATTTTACACATACTGTCTTATTTGATCCTCACAATAAAACTACCATTATTCTGCTTTATAGATGAGGAAATTTTGGAAACAGAGCCCTATTCGCCAAAAGTTAATGCAGATTAGGTTTGGAGCTAGCCCTGACAGTCTCACCTCAGAACTTGTACTCTTAAATATCATATTGGTCCTATAAGCAGTCTCACAAAGGTATATATAACTCTTGTGGTGATTAGTGCTATTTGTATCAATAAACTTCAAATCTGGGAATTCAAGATGTTCAGTCTCTAACTTGTGTGTTGGCAAAGGATTGTGTGTGAATGTAATGGAGGGAGTCAAGTGGTCCTGTGTCCTTGGTCATCATTGCGCTAGAGTCACTTGACTTTTAAAAGTCTTTATATATTGGATTTTTTTTTATTATGTAAGATTTGTTTGGTAGAAAATATTTTGGTGCTTTTAAAAAAATAAGGCATACTACTTACTTTAAATAAACTTTATTCTACAGATGAAGAATGAAACTGAGGAATTAATGGAACATGGCTAAGGTTTTGTCTATAACCAAGTATCTCACAGGATACCTTTTCTGCTTTAGTAAAGAAGCAGAATCCATTTTTTTTTTTTTTTAGATCCATGCATACCTTATGTTTTCATCCTTTTAAGTATTTGGTGAAATAGAAATACCAATTTGCATTTTTAGAATTAAACACTCTGTTGTACTTTTTTTTTTTTTAAACAGCATATTCTTCTTCCTAAATTAGATTGGTAGTTGAACATGGGTGATGAATAATGTGGTTCATCACACTGTCCTCTTTACTTTTCTATATATTTAAAAATTCCTTTAATAAGTTTAAAAAAGATGGGCGCATATATTATGAATTAATATTTATTGGAGAATTTTGTGACAATTAATACATGGGCTACCAAAAATAGGAGATAGAAATCATTGATGTAAAGAGAACTAAAGCATTCTAAAAAATGGTGAGTTGGATGGGAAACTAACATTTACATTTGAAATAAAACACTTAAAAAAACTTGAAGTGGAGGGGCTCAGTTGGTTGGGTCTCCCACTCTTGGTTTCGGCTCGGGTTATGGTCTTGGGATCGTGGGATCAGCCCCCCAGTTGGGCTCCGTTCTTGGCAGGGAGTCTGCCTGGGGTTCTTTCCCTCTACCCCTCCTCGTCTCTCAAGAAGAAATAAATCTTAAAAAAAAATAAGCTTACAATGGTTATGTGTCAGTTACTGAGATCAGTAAAACTGGGAAAAACTTAAAATGACCAACGGATTTTAATTTTTGGAAGGATTTTATATTTGGAAACTGATATTTTTATATTAAATATAAAATTTATATTAAATACCATTGTTATGGTTCTCTTTAGGTCCTGGCCTGGCAATCAGAGTAATATGTGCTGAAGAACCTTACATTTGTAAGGACTTTCCTGAAACCAACAATATTTTGAAGATAGTAGCTGATTTTTCTGCAAGTGTTAAGAAGGTAATTTGGGGGGCACCTGGGTGGCTCAGTTGGTTAAGCGACCGCCTTCGGCTGAGGTCATGATCCCGGAGTCCTGGGATCAGTCCTGCATCAGGCTCCCGGCTCGGCGGGGAGCCTGCTTCTCCCTCTGGCCCTCTCCCCTGTCATGCTGTTTCTCTCTCTCTCTCTCTCTCTCTCAAATAAATAAATAAATAATAAATAAATAATAAATAATAATAAATAAATAAATAAAAAATAAATAAATAATAAATAAATAAATCTATCTTTAAAAAAGAAAGGTAATAATTTGCATTGAATTTGTATATTACAGGAGCTTTAAATAGACATAGCTCATCAGTAGAAGGAATTGAATGGATTCTTGTAGTCCTCTAGTATCTACAATGAATTTATTAGAATTTCATTTTTTGAAAATTCAGGGTAATTTAACATGTTAAATGACTATACAGAAAATATTCTACAGAGGCTTACAATTGTAGACTTACCTTTTTTAGCCTTAGATAAGATACCTTGAATCCCAAAAAATTCTAGATATGAAGGGGTGTTTAAAAATATTTTAGGGGTGCCTGGCTGGCTCAGTTGGTAGAGCTTGCGACTCTTTATCTTGGGGTCATGAGTTTGAGCCCCATGTTGGGTGTGGAAATTACTTAAAATCTTTAAAAAATATATTTTATATGTATTGCAAGAAAATAAGAGAAAACATTTTTACTCCAAACTAAGGATGGATGTAAAAGTCTCGCAGTCCTTCTGTAGATTTGGTGCCTAAATTTATAATCTTTGTCATCTGAAAAACTTCAAGCTAAGAATTTAAAGCGGACCTTGGTTGGTAGTGCTTCCAGGTGTCAGGCTTAGCAATGTAAATTCTTTCTGGATTGTCTTAAGGCCTTAAAAGATCCCCACATACAGAGTTCCAATAAATATGTATGAACTTAAAATATTGCAAAATATATACAGAAGTAAGGTAACATGAATGAGAGCTAGTGGAAAAAACTGGCACAAGACCCTCAAACATTACAGATACTGGAGTTAGTGTAAAGTACGTAGAATTAAAAGAAGCAGTTGGTAATGAGAATAAGGTATATGGTAAAAGACTATCAAAATGACTTGGGCAGCTTTGAAAAAAATTAAGTTCTAGTAATGAAAATAACTGAAATTAAAAACAGCTAAAGAAGGAAGTAATGAACTCAAAAACAGATGTTAAGAAATTATCCAGAAATTGGAACAAAGCATCAAAAAGAAAATATATAGAGAAGAGGTTAAAATAGAATGAAAAGGTCAATTTTAACATATGTCCAGGAAGAGATAATAGACAAAAGTATTTGAATTCGTCCACGCTGGTGAAGACACCATACCTCAGATTCAGGAAATGTAACACATCTCATTTAGGATAATGAAAAAAAAAATTGACACCTAGTAGGCATACCTATCAAAACTGCAGACTGCCAAAGACAAAACAGCTACAGAAGAAGGATTGTTTATCCTTTGAAGGAAAGACTATTATACTGAAAGCACGGGAAAAACAAGAAGATTTCAGAGTGCCATGAGAAAATAATTGTGAATAGTGAACAGATGAACTGTCTTCTAAGAACTAGGGCAAATGAAGACATTTTTAGATAAACAATTTATTACCAACAGTCCATTACTTAAGGAACTAAAGGCAGTGGTTCTCAGCCTGAAACAAACATGGGCTGTATAATAAAAATAATCTCTAATTTTTGTTTGTTTCAAAATATTATAACAATATACAGCTAAAATAGCATATAAGCCACAGGAAATTGATTGAAGTTAAAGCATTCAAAGATACTTGTATTGTTTGCTAGGGGGACAGAGAGATTGATTCTCTTCTCTTAAGTATCCATGTTAACACTCAGGGGGAACTACTAAAAGAAGAAAAATACAGGGTTTAACTTCAAAACCAGTAGAAGGGAAATAAATGAGCTGGGAGAAATAGTAGAAAAATGTAAGAAAAGACAAACCTAAAAACTGGGACAAATAGAAACTACTGAATAAAATGGTAGCATGAAATCCAACCATATTATTAACCCACAATTAATTAAAAGGACTAACATCTCCAGTTATGACATAGATTGTCAAACTGGATTGAGAAGTAAAATCTAAGTATAGCCTGTTTACCTAAGGATAGAGTGAAAGTAAAAGAATGGAAGAGCATATACCAGGCAAATACACCAAAAAAAGGAAGTTGGTGGAGATATATTAATTTTAGACAAAAGTGACTTTATGGTAAGAGGTTTTATTATAAGGAAAAGGTTTAACTCATGCGAGGTGTGTCCCTTGCTGCTGACAGGATTGACTCCCCGAAGTATACAGATATGATCTGTGTTTCTTATCTGGATACTTCTCATAGCCCTGGCCCTCAGGAGTGAAATTCTAATGCACTGCATAGCACACACAAGTCAAATATCAAATAGGATCTATTGCTGTAAACCAGTAAGTGGAGATACATAAGACAGTAATAAATACCAAAAGAATACCTTATTTCTTGAAACCTTAAGAAATGTCTGTTTGCTTTTCTCAGCCACATACACTATTACAAAGAGTCAAAGCTTGTACAACGGAAGAGGATCAGGAGAAGCTGATGCAAATTACAAGTTTGCATTCATTGAATGCCTTCCTGTTGCCAATTAAAACTGTAGGTGTGCAGGTGAGTTGTGTGAATTCATTGATCTGTAACGTAACTTTTTGCAGTTTATTCTTTCCACTAATATTGAAATAGGAGTGACTTAGGAAAATGAAATATATACATTTTAAAGTATATACAGCAAATTTGGAAATGTAAAAAGGTGGTACTTTATAGAGTGTTTATGGAGTGAATAAGGTTATAGGAACTAAATATTCAGGCTGAGATTTTGTAGTTTGGGAACATCTGTCATCTCCAACCAAAAGTAAATATTCAAACAGTGGTTTGCTGTAGGGTTGACTTGCTTGCTTCTGCCTTGAAGGGCAGGTACCAGGAAGTCCTGTCCTTATGTGTGCCTCTTGGTGTGAAAGTACTGTGACTTTAGAAGTGTTAAGTGCAAGAAGGCCCTCAGATGAACATGTTATACTATTTAAGTCTTGCTCTCACCTTGTGTATTCCTTAAACTCTGTGCTCTCTGTGTCTTCCACATATTCTTTCTTAGCTGTGATCATGTACAACTAACATTTTTGTATTCTGTTTTTCTAATTGTAAAAGCATGTGAGGATAATATAGTTTTCACTTTTAAAATGTTATTTATAAATAGATTATATTAATTCTCCTTTATATGATCCTCAAGTGAGTTTCTGGGGAAAAGCTTGGGAGGGTAGGGAAGAGGAAAGTTTCTATTCTGTTAGGGCTTTTAGTTAAATGAAAACTAGAAAAAGTGTCAGTAATTCAACTCAAAATGGTATGAATGCCAGTTATTGGGCCTTCCTTATGTGTGGGAAGAAATTAACTCTGTTTTAGAGATTATTCATCTGAAACTTAGTAAGTATACTTTTTTTCCTAAACACATGAAGTTGAGTCATCAGTTTAAATTCCTCCTTCTCCTGAATCCATGTAGCTCTGTCTGTAAATGAGACAATAAAAATTCATTGTTGTCTTTAAAGTATTTCAGTTCATGGAAATGATAGGTCCAGTTATTTTGAACTTGTTCCCTCTTCCCCCCCTTTTTAAAGGCCATATGTGAAAGCTATGTATATTCTTTTTAAAATAAGCCTTTCTGGAATTGTAGAAATAATTTTCTTTCAGTGGTATTTGGTTATCTTATCATACACAGATTCATTTTGAAATTTATGCTATGATACTTACAGGCAGATATTATCCTACTACATAAAAATAGAAGAACAGATAAGTTATTTGATTTGTAGAAGTTTTTCCAGTCCTAAGTAGATCTCATACAGAGGACTTCCAACTCTATACTAACTCCTGCTAGGCAGGAAGTTGAATTGAATTAGTTCGACATTCCCCTTCTTAGATAATTATTATAGATAATAATGTTAGATGAATAGGTGTTTGAGGCAATTTGTTAGATGAATGGCTTCTTTAAAAATGAAGCTTATTCAGGCTCCACTACTTTTACCATCAAAGTAAAAGTTTCTTTTGTTGTTAGATATCTTACTTTAGTCTTTTATGCTTTTGAAGGTGAGACCCTTGGAAGCCCAGAAAAAAAATCAAAATTCATGGTTAGTATAGCAATAAAGCTTATTTTCTAAATACCAAAATAAACCATACTCGTAAAAAAAAAATTCAGTACATTTAGGATAATTTTCCCTCTGCCTATTCTCCAGTTGTATGTGTCCTTCCAGAAACATTAATTTTAAAAAGAAAAAAAAAGGAATTATGGATGTGTATTGTCATCTTTTTCCTTTAAACTTGATGACATGAATTTCTTATCTTTGCATGCCATTACAAGTAGATTATTCTTAACTACTGCCTTGTAGTCCATGTATAGTTATACCACTGTTTAATCATTTCCCTACCAGTGGACATTTAAACTATTTCAGCGTTTCACTATTATAGGCATTTCAGCAAGTAATATCTTATTCTTCAAGCAGTTATTCATGCTTCTGTAAGATCATGTCCTGAATTAGGAACATGTACGCTTTAAACTTTGATAGATACAATCAAATTAGCATTCATATAGTCTGAATTCTCATATTCTCAGTATAGTGGCTGGTAGGTAGTTAGCTAATGAATCTTTTTAAATTGCTTATTTTAGTTTAACTTTTTTTTTAAAAAATTTTTTAAGCAAATCACTTGGGTTAAAAAGGACAAAGGAGGGGCATCTGGTGGAGCAGTCGGTTAAGCATCCTACTCTTGGCTTCAGCTCAGGTCATGATCTCTGGGTCCTGGGGTCGAGCCCTGTGTTGGGCACTGCACTCAACGAAGAGTCTACTTGAGATTCTTTCTCCCTCTGCTCTTCCTGCTTGTGCTCTCTCTCTCTCTCTCAAATAAATCTTTAAAAAAAATAAAAAGGACAAAGGAAAAGGGAATCAATATTATGTTTTATTCATTTATTTTTAAGTTAAATGGATATTTAACTTAATGGATATTTCAGTGGTTCATTAATTTTCAGTGGTTCATTTTTAAAGAAATTTATAGTAAATATTTATGAAATTATTTTTATCTCTGACTTAAGAATACTTAAGAATATCCACCTAATAAACATGGGTAGATCTTTTTTCATTTTAATAGTTATGTGTGTGTGTGTGTGTGTGAGTATAATTGACACACAATGTTACGTTATTTTCACATGTACAGCACCGTGAGTCAGCTTCTCTATATGTTAGACTGTGCTTGTACAAGCACAGGTGTAGCTGTCATCTGTCACCATATATCCCTATTATAAAACCATTGACTGTATTCCCTGTGTGTGGCTTTATTCCTGTGACTTAGTTATCTTCTAACTGGAAGCTTGTATCTCTCCCCCTTCACCCATTTTGCCCATCCTCCCACCCCCTTTCCTCTGATAATCATTAGTTTATTCCTGTATTCGTAGGTCTGATTCAGCTGTTTTTTTGGTTTTTAGGTTTCATATATGAGTGAAATCATACAGTATTTGTCTTTCTCGGTCAGACCTACTTCACTTAGCATGATATCCTCTAGGTCTATCCATGTTTTGTAAATGGCAAAAACAAGAAAATCTCATCCTTTTTTATGGCTGCATAATATTCTCTCTGTGTGTACGTGTGTACATATCACATCTTCCTTATCCATTCATCTGTTGATGGACATACCTTGGTTATTGTAAATAATGCTGCAGTAAACATAGAGGTGCATGTATCTTTTCGACTTAATGTCTTCATTTTCATTTTCTTTGGGTATATACCCTTTAGTAGAATTACAGAATTATTGAATCATATGGCATTTCTATTTTTCATTTTTTGAGAAACTATTTTCCACAGTTGCTGTACATTCCCACCAGCAGTACACCAGGGTTCCTTTTTCTGCACATCCTTGCCAACACTTACTTCTTGTCTTTTTGATACTAGCCATTCTAACAGGAATAAGGGGTTATCTCATTGTGGTTTTGATTTGCATTTCCCTGATGAATAGTGATGTTGAGCATCTTTTCATGAGTCTTTTGGCCATCTGTAGGTCTTCTTTGAAAAAATATCTGTTGAGGTCCTCTGTCCGTTTTTTAATTGGAGTGTTTGGGTTTTTGGTGTTGTGTGAGTTCTTCACATATTTTGGATATTAAACCCTTATTGGATATATCATTTGCAAATATCTTCTCCCATTCAGTAGGTTACCTTTTGGTTTTGTCGATGGTTTCCTTCACTGTGCAAAAACTTTATTTCAATGTAGTCCCAATAGTTTATTTTTGCTTTTGTTTCCCTTGCCTCAGACATACCTAGAAAAATGTTTACTATGGCTAATACCAGAGAAATTACTGCCTGTGTTCTCTTCTAGGATTTTTGTGGTTTCAGGTCTTACATTTAGATCTTTAATCCATTTTGAGTTTAATTTTGTGAATGGTGTTAGAAAGTGGTCCAGTTTTATTCTTTTACATGTAGCTGTCCAGCTTTCCTAGTACCATTAATTGAAAAGACTTTTTAAACCCCATTGTATATTCTTCCCTCCTTTGTCATAGATTAATTGATCATATAAGTGTGGGTTTATTTCTGGGCTCTCTACTCTGTTCCACTGATCTATGTGTCTGTTTTTGTGCCAGTATCATACTGTTTTGATTACTGTGGCCTTATAGTTTATCTTGAAATCTGGAATTGTAATACCTTAGCTTGGTTGTTCTTTCTCAAGATTGCTTTGGCTATCCGGGGTCTTTTGTGGTTCCATACAGATTTTAGTATTATTTGTTCTAGTTCTCTGAAAAATGCTGGTGGTATTTTGATAAGGATTGCATTGAATTTGTAGATTGCTTTGGGTAGTATGGACATTTTACAATAGTAATTCCTCTAATCCATGAGCATGGAATGTCTTTCCATTTGTTTATGTCCTCTTCAGTTTCTTTCATCAGCATTTTATAGTTCTCAGAGTTACAGGTCTTTTACTTCTTGGTTAAATTTATCCCTAGGTATGTAATTCTTTCTGGTACTATTGTAAATGGTATTCTTAATTTCTCTTTCTGCTAATTCATTGTAAGTGTATAGAAATGCTACTGATTTCTGGGTATTAATTTTGTATCCTGCAACTTTACTGAATTCATTAATTACTTCTAGTAGTTTTTTGGTGGAGTCCTTAGGATTTCCTGTGTGTAGCCTCATGTTGTCTTCAAATAGTGACAGCTTAACTTCTTTACCACTATTGATAGCTCTTATTTTTTTCTTCTCTGATTGCTGTAGTCAGGACTTTCAGTACCTGTATAGGTACTGAATAAAAGTGGCAGGAGTGGACATCCTTGTCTTGTTCCCACTCTCAGAGGAAAAGCTCTCACTTTTCACCATTGAGCATGATGTTAGCTGTGGGTTTTTCATATATAGCCTTTATTATGTTGAGGTAAAACATGGGCAGGTCTTGTCTGCCAAATTAGGTGTGCTGGCTATATACATTTGGGCAGATACTTGGAATGAAATCCCAGTGGGCCTCTGGCATGTGTTGAATAAAATTTTAAAATTACCACGACACTTTGTGTCTGAACTGATTTAGATAGAATTTAATATGGGATTTTAATTTAGGGTTTATATCATTAGAGAAATATTTGTATATACTTTTATTCAGACATGTTTTTGTTTAAAAAAAACAAAGAAATTGTTAATGGTGTTACCACGCATGGAATATTTTCCATCCATCTTTTGGCTTCTATAAAACCATTAAAAATTATTGACTGTATTTTTTTTTTTTTCAGGGTGACTGTCGTTCCTATAGTTACGTGTGTGGCATCTCCAGTAAAGATGAGCCTGACTGGGAATCTCTTATTTTCCTGGCTAGACTTATACCTCGCATGTGTCACAACATTAACAGGTATGTTCTGCAGGGGACAAAGGGTGAGGTGAAATGGAAGGGTGTATTTTTTAAGATCTTCCCACTTTTGAGAGACCAAAAGACTCAAAAGTATACATAGAGGCATGCACAGAGGTCACAGTTGAGCAGAAACTTAATAATACCTTGTGTTTTGTTCCTTCCTCACAGTGCCGTCATCTGCTTATTAAAAAACTTTTTGCTCTTGTTTAAACAAAAGATAGGAAGGATTTTTTTTATTAAGTATTAAATATTAAAGGCACTTTTAAAACCTGTCTTCCAAATTAGGAGCTTATGCTAGCTGTGGGTTTTATGGTAATATGTTTTCTTCCAGGATTTCTTCTACTGGAAGGAATATGTATGGGTTATATAATTACCAATAGAGACTTGGTTAATTTAGTAATAATCCCAGGGAAAGTCACAGAAAAGAAATAGGCATATGCCAGATATCATTAAAATAACTACATGTGGAATTTATTTTGAATTTATTTTTTTCAGATCCAGTTTTTCTTTCGCTTGCATGGTAATTTTTAATGTTGGATATATCAACAACTGATTTGTAATCTATGTGTAATGGTCCATTGCAGTGTCCCATATAGAGTTCAAAAAAATCTCCTACCAGATTGGTGATTAGATGTTCTAGTTTCACCATTGTCTACTCTTTCTTCATTTTCTTCATGAGTATTAAGCAATTAACAACCAAAAATAATTACTTGAGGTTTCAGTTTACTCAAGTTTGCTGCAGGAATTAGGAACCTACCTATTGGTGTTCACCCAGGAGGGTGTGTATAGTTCTAGAACTGCCTGTTGATATGTCCTTTGAGACAAGGAGTCAGAGGGAAGCCAGTTTTTTATTGGTGGGAACATGCCCACTAAAAGGCTAATATTATTACGGTGATGAATCTAAGGCCTGCAGATAGAGAAGCACCATCAATATACTGAAAAGAGTGAATTATTAATAAAAATGGAAAATTTGTAATCGCCTATTTTGAATGGAGATAATTGCTTTGGTTAAAATAACGGTTCATTATCTATCTTCTAGAGAATGCTAAATGTCTAAATAAACTTTTTAGGTCATACAGAACATTCCCTTTCCCTAAGTTTGACTCAACTGCTTCTGTTTTTCATTTCACAACATTATTACAGTTTCATTTCCCTCTCTATTTTTCTTTTGCCACAGGTCCCTCACCCTTGTTTAAACTTTCTCTGTCCTTTTATATGCTGGTTTCTCTGCCTGTTTTCTTTTTCCCTTGTTTGCTCCTCCCTCCTTTCCCGAATATCCCTCCCCCCTGCAAAAAAATAAAGTCTAACAACCAACAAACAAAAAATAGATTTTTAAAATACGAACCTAGCAAGCCTATTTAAGAGTTTCAGTGAATTTTAGATTTCTTTGCCAGGGTCTGTTTTGGGAATTGGAATTTAAACAACTAAGACATTTTTTTCTATTTTTGCCAAACTTTTTCTTAATTTGCATTGTGGAATCTTTGTATAGAGAGTGTCTACTCCAGTTTTACTGTCCTGTACAATGTGAAAGACTACTTATTCCTGTACATTCTAGGAACACTCTTACTTATAAGAAATAAGACAAAAAGAGCGAGTTCATGGCATTCTTTTTCCTAGTTGATTTTTCCTCGAAGGATCATTTATGAACTCTATGGACTGTATTGTTGAGTAGAAGTGTGGTGTTTGATACATGGGACAAAAACTTGCTATATAGTATGTTTGGGAGGAGGCAGTGAATTAGTTGGTGGTAGTGTGGTTTTGATCTGATGCTGTTTTCTTCTGTATGTTTTTATGCCAAGTACATATTAAGAAAAAGGAAAAAAAGCATTATTAAACTTCACCATGGAAGTTGCCAAGAGAGATGTATTTTCTTTGGTTAAGACAGGGCTAGGGAAAGGGGACAGTTGTGTGCTGGTTGGAGTCCAAGTCGGGAGAGCTAGGATGCATTCATATCTATATCCTGACTGCCCCTTGTTTTCTGGGTGAAGGTTGTGGAACAGGTCCTCCCAACCAGTGGTAGGATTCGTCTTGAGTTGTAATTATCTGATCCTAATTTCCTCAAGCTGTGTTCTTTTATTAAAGTTACTTTTATTAACGCCTGCAGTGCATCTTCCTATCCTTCAAACAGATGTTTACTTAAAGAAGTAGTGAGTTATTCCTTTTAGGAGCAAATAGTAGGATATCAAGTTCTATTTTGGTAACATTTTTAATAATGGGGAAATGAGAATCTTTGAGATCAGTGTTTTGCAAAGTGAAAAAAAGAATTTAGTCAAATAAGTTTAGAAAATGCACTGTAGCCTTATCTTGGAGGTTTCTAGTGCATATTAGCATATAGTTTCTGAAGTTCTGGCATAAAACAACCTATTTATTTGTTCAACTCAGTGTTTCCCCAGGCTTATGTATATTTACTTCTTAGGGGTACTATAACAAATTATCACAAACCAGGAGGCGTAAAACAAATTTATTCTCTCACAGTTCTAGAGGCTAGAAGTCTGAAGTCAGGGTGTTAGCAGGGCCATGCTCTCTATGGCATAAGGCTCTGGGGAGGATCCTTCCTTGACTCCTCCTAGTTTCTGGCGTTTACTGGCAATCATTGGCTTGTGGCAGTATAACTCCAGTCTCTGTTGCCATCTTCACATGGCCCTCTCTATTTTGTCTGTTTCCACATTTTCCTCTTCTTAGAAGAGGAAAACACCCTCAAAAATTTTTGCCTACCCTGATCCATTATGACCTTATCTTAACTCGACTACATCTGCAAAGACCCTATTTTCACCTATAGATTCCAGATGGACATGAAGTTTGGGGGATATGCATCAATCCAGTACGTCATATGAAAAGAGGATTGTGATAATCCCATATATCTTTGTGTACTCTGAGATACTATTTTTCCAAAGAATACGCTTTCAAGAAGGTACATAGAACATAGACCCTTCTATAATCTTATATCCCGGGGCACCTGGGTGGCTTAGTCAGTTAAGTGTCCGACTCTCGATTTTGGTTCAGGTCATTATCTCAGGGTTGTGAGATCGAGTTCTGTGTTAGACTTTTCGCTGGGTGTGGAGCCTGCTTAAGATTCTCTCCCTCTGCTCCCCTCCCCCACATGTGCATGCACTCTTTCTCTTTTTCAAAAAGAAAGTATATAATCTTTTTTTTTTTTTAAGATTTTATTTGAGTATGAGTGGGGGGAGGGGCAGAGGGGGAGGTAGAGGGACAAGCAGACTCCCCACTGAGCATGGAGCCTGATGCAGGGCTTGATCCCAGGACCCTGAGATCATAACCTGAGCCAAAGTCATATGCCAGAGCCACTCAGGCACCCCTATATATACAATCTTATATCCAGTCTTACCCATGTGGTGATTTGAAGTGGGTGAGAGAGGGGCCTCAGAATTATGGAAAGAATGATAGTTTATGTTCCTTGCTTCTTCTACTAAATTGTCATTTCTCTATAATTTTCACCTCCCCTTCTAGAGTTGTCTATATATTTGGCCCACCAGTTAAAGAACCTCCTACAGATGTTACTCCCACTTTCTTGACAACAGGGGTGCTCAGTACTTTACGCCAAGCTGACTTTGAGGCCCATAACATTCTCAGGGAGTCCGGTAAGTTGTTCATTTTATTACTACATGCTCTAACTAGAATTTTGAAATGTGGCATTATGATTGCTAGTTAGGAGGATGCAAGTTTGAATTTTTAGATGCCTTTATTTTTATTATTCATTTATTATTCATTCATTATTTATTCATTCAGTTCTATGATACTGCCTGCCATACAAAGTTTTTCACCTTTATGGTCATTTGTGGATATGTACGTATAAGCAAAAATTTGAGTTGCCTGACTCCCATTGTTCCCAGCTGAGGTTATACAAAGTGATATTCTTTTTGTTCACTCTTAAATGTCCTTTTTGTAGTCTATTTAGTAGCATGTTTTTTGCATTTCTGTGCTTATTTCTGATTTTACTGTTTGAAATGTCCCCCAGTCATAGTGCTGAGGTGCTGTCTGGGTTTCTGAGCACAGGAAGAGTGTCATGTGCCTTATGGAGAAAATATGTGGGTTAGATAAGCTTTATTTATGTATGAATTATAGTGCTGTTGCCTATAATTCAGTGTTAATGAATACAGAATAAAAAAGGTGTCCTTAAACAGAAACATACATAAAACAAGGTTACGTATTGATTGATGAAAATGTTGTGACCAGAGGCTTGCAAGAATCTCTCTCTTTCTTGTAGGGACAGTGGTTTACAATTTGCTAATTCAGTGTTTACAGTATAGACCATAACTACCTTGAGTAACAAGAATGGGCTTATATATATATTGCGTCACTGTAACATCACTGCAATCATCAAATTCTACTGTTTGTATTTGTGGTTGAGTTTACTTATAGATATGACAGTAGTTGAAAACAATGCATGGTGACGGTCTTAACTGGTATGTTTATGTATGTGATTTTAGATATTATCTGGGAGGATTTAATGGAACTGGGTTAGAGTGCTTTTTCCATGACGTGGTCATTGGTTCTATGTGTTTACTTTTTCTAGGGTATGCTGGGAAAATTAGCCAGATGCCGGTGATTTTGACACCATTGCATTTTGATCGGGACCCACTTCAGAAGCAGCCTTCATGCCAGAGATCTGTGGTTATTCGAACCTTTATTACTAGTGATTTCATGACTGGTATACCTGCAACACCTGGCAATGAAATCCCTGTAGAGGTAACTTATATGTTTTTCTCATGTACATTTTTAATATCTCCTACATTTTATAATAAGGTGACTGGACTAGGCTATGACAAAATTGATATTTCTGGGGTTGGTTTTCTGTTTGTAAGATTGGCTTTTTTATTTTATTTTTTAGAGATTTATTAGCATGTGTGTGTGCAGGATGGGGGGCAGAGGGAGGGAGAGAGGGCCAGACTCCCCACTGAGCATAGAGCCTGAAAGGGGTGTGTGTGGGGGGCTGCTCAAGACAGAGCTCCATCCCACGACCCTGAGATCCTGACCTGAGCCAAAAATCCAGAGTCAGACACTTAACACACTGAGACACCCAGGCACCCCTAGGCTTTTATTATTTTTTTTAATCTCCACGTAATTGATTAAATAAAGCACTGGGTGTTATACTCAACTAATGAACCATTGAACATTATATTAAAAACTGATGATGTGCTATAACTTGGCTAATTGAATTTAAATTAAAAAAATAATTATTGTAGTTTTCTAGACCTTAAATTTATTATACCCCTCCAGATGTCTGATTACTATGTGGAGTAACCACCTCTAATCTACAATTCTATCTAATCTTGCCAACCTCTACTTTATAAATAGTATTTTCCAAGTAAAGGAGAAAACCCTGGTAGTGAAGAAGAGTTTATCAGAAATATGGATGAGATTTGATACCGTGATGGCTAGACACCCATGAATTGCTTAATGCTCTGCCTACTACCAACTATTTTTTTTTTTAAGATTTTATTTGAGAACAGAGCGAGAGAGAGCATGAGCATGGGGGAGGGGCAGAGGGAGAGGGAGAAGCAGGCTCTCCACCGAGCCGGTAGCCCAATGTAGGGCTCCATCCCCAGGACCCTAGGATCATGATGTGACCTGAAGGCAGATGCTGCTTAACTGACAGCCACCCAGGCGCTCTGACTACCAACTCTTTTTGATCACCATCTCCCTCTCCTGTTCTCTCTCCCCTGGAGTGTTCCAGAGCAGCTATTTTCATAGTAGCAAATGAAATCAAAGTGAGACTTTATTAGGTGGACCTCTGCTCTGTACTCTAATGCAAGGCTCTGGTTATAGCTAGATAGCTAGGTTGGGGATTGTGGCTTAGAGTTTGTTTCCCCTTAGCCTCACATTTGCCAAATCTCTGTCCATTCAAGTGACCAGGCCTTCTTCTCCTCTTGTACACTTGGTAGTGGTTGTTATTACAGTGCATTATGTGCCACTGTGCTGGCCGTGGACTTGTATGTTTCAGCCACAGAATATATTTGAAGCCTTGGCTTTTAATACATAATATCACATGCTTGGATGTCACAGCAATTTCAAATTGCTGTAAATGTTTCTAAACACTTGTTAGGACAAACATAATTTGCAGACTGGCAACTGTTTGCAGACTACGCTTTGAGTAGTACTGAGTTAATTCACTTAAATCTATAGAAGGAAATTAGGTTCACTGCATAAAATTAATCCGAGACCATACTATATACATAGAAGAGAATAATAAAAGTAGATCGCATTTTAATTGTAAATGCAAGCCTTCTAGGTATGTTGGACATGCGCTGGATCGTGGCTCTTCTATTTATGATCTTTGTTTTATAACAGGTGGTGTTAAAGATGGTCACTGAGATTAAGAAGATTCCTGGTATTTCTCGAATTATGTATGACTTAACATCAAAGCCCCCAGGAACTACCGAGTGGGAGTAATAAACTTCTTGTTCTATTAAAGTATTGTGTTCAGTTTAAATTGATTAGAAACCATTCCCAGTATTGACATGCGGTACTGTGAAGAGTTACTGGAGCGGCTGCATCACATCTGAGTTCTCTACAGCAAAAATCTACGGCCTAAGAGCTGAGTCGGGGATCACTAAAAGGGACTGAAGCGTTTGTACGGGTATAATCAAAGCACCATTGCCTACACTCAGACAGATTGGCACTGCTTTTGCCTTTGCCTCACTTGTTCTTTATGTATAAACTCACTGTTGCTATTAATGTCTCCGTCAATGAAGATGTATGAAGGTGGGTGAATTTGGGGGTAGTAATAGCCTTCTCTCTCCTTGCCAGTTTCTAAGAGCTGTTAGAAAACACCCGTTATTTACCAGTGTGACTTAGTATGTATGTCTTTCAGAGAATCTGAATTTACTTATAAGTAACCTTACTCCTCCAAAGGTGGGGGTGAGGGATGAACATACCAGATAAGGTGTAGGTGGGCTGTTCCAGCCCTTTTGCAGGACACTGGGGCTATCAAATGTAAGCTCCCTTAAGATGGAAAACACCAGGAATTTGTTGAAGTACTTTAGAATTTTATGACATCACAGCCATGGGAGAAAGAAGCTACGAATGGTCTTGGTTTAAAATGTTTTCAAATCCTGTTCCACATAGATGCCATGGTGTTCACTGTCAGCCTGTTCATTAGTGAGGAGCTTTATCCCCCCACCACCCACCCATGTTGCCAACTCCCATAGCCTTGTGAGGAAGTTTCTGTTCTCTTTCCCGGAAGAGGCTGTCTCTGGTGTAGCATAAAGTCAGAGTTTTGATCTCGTTTGGTCAGAGGGCCAACTCTGAGACCACAGAAACCATTACACACGCCCACAGCTTAGACTATCTAGTAAAGAGTTGTAAAATGAACTCTTAGATGTAATCTGTAGGCAGGTTTATTACCCACTGTTCAGAAGACTGTGACCAGTCTTAGTCCATGCAAGATATTGCCACACCTTGTAATCCTCTATCATCTGTAAGATTCAAGAACTTGTATAGGACTCCTTGCTGTTGCCACTGGTGTCTACAAAATCCTTTATAACATTCGTATAAGCACTATAAAAATAGTACTAGACTTAAATTCTATAATCATTTCTCAATATTTTAGCTTGTTGTTACTATTTAAGAACATTATGAGTTTTTCCTTTTTTTTTAATTGAGGTGTAATTGACCTATAGCAGATTAGTTTCTGGTGTCATGTTTTTCTCATGCCTCTTATGCATGTTTTTCTCATGCCTTCTCACGCCTTTCTCAGGTTGCTGCCTCTTATTTTCAAGATCCTTTGTATTAATCAAGTACAAAATTTTGTTTGGGATTCAGTATTAGGTAAATGGTAAAATCATGCATGGCAGAAGTCTACTTTTTGTTCTGGCTGGCCCAGAGGACAAAAAAACTGTATTGTCAGACCAGCAAGGGAAGAGCTTCTCTCTGTTGTAACGGATATCTGTACCCGAAACGAAGGAGTGTTTGACTTCTACAGAACTTGAAAGGTTCATTTTCTGTCCTGATGTTGAGGTATTCATACTAGCCTTTTGGAAAGAGGATGTGTAAGTGATCTGGCTGTAACAGGTTTGGAGTCATGTTATCTTAGAGCTGGAATAGACAACCTCTAAAAGGCTTACAAATATTTACATTTATGTGAAAAAATTCCTCTTCTAGCAGACGTTTTCGAGCAAATAGGAAACTAGGAAGAATATACAGTGAGAGTGTTTTCTTTCTATGGAACACTGCTCCACCAAGCTGATCCTTGTCAAAAGGGTTAGATGGTCATGGAAGTTGAGAAAGTGCTGTTCGCTTGTCCTTCTATCTTGGAAGGTCATGGTGTACATTATATTCAAAGCTCTGAGAAATTTTGATGTGAGAAACAGTTGTTAAACTTTCTTAACCTGATGTTTTCCTGATCTTTGTCTGCTAAACTCTTTTTATAATCCTTAATACTGGAAAAAATGGTCTCTCCAAAACACATCCTGACATGATATAGTAAAAAAGTTAATTTTTTTGGAATTTAGAAATTCCCTAATATTTTGAACCCCCCCTTCCTTTGCAAAGCACTTTTTGCTTTGTGTCATACAGTATTACTCTGTATCTTCACAGTATGTCATCCAGGCAGCTGAGAAAAGTTAAGATTATAGTCCATTTTACATTAAGGAAACAAGCTCAGCTTAGTAATGGTTACCTAATGAAATTCAGAATGAAATATCCTTGGGAGATTATGACTGCATTCCCATCAAATTAAATATATTTTGTTCCTTCATACCATACTGATTAGGAGTAGGTAGGCAGGTCAAAGCATCATTTATTCCCCAAATTGGCAGGCACAAAGGAATTTTCAAGTATCCAGTTTCACCTTAATAGTGCTATTTTAATCATCAGCTGTTTTAGAAATAACATGGCCTGGCATAATTTCTGAAGGTCGGTCTATAGATGTATCTGGGAGATGGATTACACTGTTTTTCCATCTTTTGCTGCCCCTTCATCCTGAGGTAGCTGCCTGCATGTAGCCAAACAGGCATCATAAAAGTTTTTTTCTCACTGGGCTTATCTCCTGATATTTTACTGTATAAATGAATCAAATCCCTCAAGAATGAGGGCATTCAGAGTAGGTAGGTGGGACTGTCCATCTTCAATGCTTTTGTCCTGATGTTAAACAGCTGTGTGAACGATTAATTTGTTTCTTTATCTCTAAGATGAGACAGTTGGGTTAAATTTACATCAAATTCAGCCATAAATTTTTCATAAAAAGGAAAAGCATAGCAGGAGACAGAATGGAGAAATTGAGGTTTTTTTTTTTTTTTTAAGTTCTTTTAACATTAGATATGACTTTATCCCAGTCAAAGGTAAACATCAAAATACATTGTAAAGTCAAATATTAATTACCTTGTTTTTTGAAGCTGTAATATAGATCCGCAAAATTTGACTACTTGAGAATCTTCTCTTGTGACCATGACACTTGGAAAATATCCATTAATAGAATGAAAAGTCTCCCATAATCAGTTATCTGTAGCTAATTGTTGGCAGGGCTGGAGCTAGAATCCAGGCTTTTCTGTTTCTCTCTATTGAAGAGGTAATGCTCTAAGGCCTTTAAAGACAAGGCTTAACAGGAAGTTCTCCTTGTATAGTTGACCCATCAGGGATAAATGCATTTCTAAAGTGTAAATCATCTCCTTAACTTACAATAAGAGAGTAGTTTCTGTCACGCCCAATGTTATACCTCTCTTTCTTTTTATTATTCCTCTCCACTGCTCTCCATAGCTGCCTCCTCTCTCCTACTGTTTCCTGATTTTTCACTGGAATGTGGTAAGGATACACCTTAGCTATTACCTCAATGGGTATTCCTTTCATTGGCCCAAATTCAGAAAGTAATATGGAACTGAATATAAGCTGGCTCTCTCTACCCTTGGAAAGTAACCCCCCCTCCCTTGTTCTTACTGAGGAAGTTTAGCCGTGCAGGTGATAGAGGGAACCAGGGTATCCGTTTTTTCTTTTTTTCAACCACTGCAGGGCTTTAGCAATAGTAATGGTGGTATCCTGGGCTCTTATATTCCTGACCATTTCATTTAATGACAAGTGAGATTTGGAATCCCTCCCCACCCCGCCCCTACCCCCAAGAGTGCCAAAATGCCAGCTCTCAAACTTAGTCTTCTATATTGAAGAGGCCCAGGTATTCTACCCAACTCTGACCTTTTGTCAGTGGTTCTCAACCCTGGATGCTTATTATTACTACCTGAGGAATTAAGTCTGTATAATGTCTAGACCCCACAATCAAGTCAATTAAATTAGAATCTTGGCAGAGCCCAATTATTGATAGTTTTAAATCTCTCCGCTCCAAAGAAATATTACTGAGGAATATACCTGGCCTATCTAGTTATGGCTTAAAATCTTAGTCATGAGAGAAATGATAAGAGAAGGCCACAATAATGTCTTGCTGAAGACATCATAGCTAAATTACTTCAGAACTAGGGATCGGACTGGAATTGATCCTGTGTATACTGTAGGTAGGTCAGACACTGCGGGCCTGTTTGGTCCGCAGCTGACGTAAATGTTACTCTTGGTGAGGTCCGTGCAACAACTACCTAGGCGTCTCTCAGCCTCTCCTTACTCCTTTTGCTTTTTGTCACAGAAAAGAAACCCACCCCTATGCTGTAGCCACCTCTCTGAATTTGTAGCTAGATCATGAAACACACTGAGCTCTTCTTACTGCACCAACTGAGAAATCCTTCTGGAGTTGTGTCATTTGGATATAATTTGTCAGCTGGAGAGTACCTACCTGTAACCTACGTTCCCGGAATGAGAATTTTTTGAACAGCCCCATTTTAAGTGACCTACCCATTAGTGTCTTTGTTCACTGGTGGACCCATGGCATCTTTTGACCTTGGTAAGGGCTCCTTGAGTAGCAAAATTGTGAGACTTCGGGGAGAGTTTGGTTCTTTCTTGGGTATACGAAGTTCAGTAGCTCTGAAACCTTCTAAGTTGTTAACCTGATGTTTGGTTTGGGGAGAGAGTTTGGTTCTTTCTTGGGTATACGAAGTTCAGTAGCTCTGAAACCTTCTAAGTTGTCCACGAAGCCTGAACCTTAAGTAATCCAAGTGGAGTAATGCCTTTGGAGAATACAGTTATTTAAGGTAAGTAATTTTCTGTCTTTGATCCTACTGTGACATTATTACAACCTTATGGTATTAAATGAAGAAGTGAATGTAACCTCCTTTTGAACAGATTTTTTTATAAAGAAGTATTTTGTTAATTGGAATAAGTAGTATAGTTGTGAAATCACTATGTAATTGTTTATGGTATACTGATAAATCTTGTATGTTGTGGTAATGGCATAAAATAGCTTTGCCAAATTAATATGAAATGACTTTAATGCCTTTTGTTTTCAATATACTTCATAAAGGAAAAATGATGACTTTCATAACTTGTCCTTAAACTTCAGTGTTATGAGAAAGTCAGTGAAGGAAAAGCAAAGAGGACAG